GAAAAAAAAAATCTTAAGGGGGCTACAATGTAGCATATTTTAAGGAGTACTATTTACGCAATTCATGTGACATATAAATTAATACTGTATCTATGTGTGAGTAGTAAATGAAAATTAGTGTGCGTAATCCGTTATCGTTTCCGAGAATTGCTGTCACGTCGAGTCGGGCAACTGCGCCGGAAGCAACTCTCACACGCGCACGCAAATGTCAATACATCGCAAAAAATGAAATATATTCATGTTTGCACAACTATAAAAACTATTAAAAGCGGTAGTAAATTAATCATACTTCCTGAAGTGCGATTGTAATTTCGAAAAAAATGGTTGAATTTATAAACTTCTAGACTATGCTTCTTAGGAATTACTTATTTAAAATCAGATGTACCCAAAATAAATATAAATGTAATGCAATTATTTCATGGGATTTCTAAAAAAAAATTTTATTTTAAGGTCATTTTAAATTGAAAATTGAAAATCGACTTCCTAAGAAGCCTAGATATTTTATCAATGAATTGAAACATATATAAAAAATTTTAATCGGACATTCCAAAGTATGTGTAATTTATCACCTCTTATTGGTCTAAAACGTATGAAAAATACGTGCGCTGCAATCCCCTTAAATCCATTTCCTACATAACCTATAAAAAAAAATAGGGAATTCGAATATTTTTTTTTTAAATTAAAATAAGTCCTCAGCACAGTCTACTGTCACTAACTCAAACATTGATTACTCAAAATTCTTGACACTTGTAACAAGTAAAATTCACCTTCGAATATCTATAACACATAAAGATTTTGACAACTCAATATTTTTAGTAAGTCAAATATTTTTCTTTTGCGAACTTCGAGTTACTAAGAGTTCTCTGTATAATATTTTAAATGTATATATTAAAACGACCCGCTGTAAATTAACAGCCTTAATTAGAACTTGTGTACCTAAAAAATATTATGAAACATTTGTGAAATTGACATATTAAAATGAATTCTTATTAATAAATATTCAACTTTTTATTATAAAATTGATTAACATAATTATAAAAAAAAAAAAAATGTGGGTAAGTGGATGTCGCTCTGCTGTACAGTAGGTTACAAGTGGGTCACTGTATAATGGATGCTATTAAATTTGAATTCAATGATATAAGATCATTGTATAAGAAAAACGATTCTGAGCGAAGACGGTATGTCAGTCTAGGTTTAAGACAAATTATATACATATCTATGGTATTAAAAAAAAATTGACCTATAATAAATTCCAAATTAATCATATCACATTATCACAATATCCATTAGGTACTTATAACACGTTATACATCAACATCAATAACAAACCCTGATACCATCATAGATGTATAATAGTACACTTTAGAAGTTTCAAGTAGGTAGCCACGAATAATATTATATAATCACAACAAAATAACTAGGTTTTTTAATATGTAATTTCGTCCAAATTTGAACATAAAATTACTATAAAAATAAACTGTGATTGTATATTTTTTAGATTTTTCGGTAAGAGAATTAACTACTTACTCCACGTAAAGATTCCACATCTTGTTTTAAATTTTCAATCATTAGCTATAAAAACTGAACATTTTATAATTTATTAATTACGATGATTAATAATTTTCGAGATTTTGAAAAATTCTGTCAAAATTCGATGTTTAAATGCTTATAAAAAAAATTGTGCCTATGTATTTTTAATATTTTTCAACTGATATTGTAACAATATATCAGGAGCCTTGTATTAAATTTTTACACTATTTGGCCTAACAGATAAAACTTTATTGATATTCATAGAAAAAAAAGGTGGGTAAGTGGATGTCGCTCTGCTGTACAGTAGGTTACAAGTGGGTCACTGTATAATGGATGCTATTAAATTTGAATTCAATGATACAATATCATTGTATAAGAAAAACGATTCTGAGCGAAGACGGTATGTCAGTCTAGGTTTAATACAAATTATATACATATCTATGGTATTAAAAAAAAATTGACCTATAATAAATTCCAAATTAATCATATCACATTATCACAATATCCATTAGGTACTTATAACACGTTATACATCAACATCAACAACAAACCCTGATACTATCATATATATATAATAGTACACTTTAGAAGTTTCAAGTAGGTACCCACGAATAATATTATACAGGGTGATTCTTTTATCATTGAACACTCATTATTTCAAAAAGTATTAATGTTTAAGAAAATATTTTTTTACATAGTTTCAAGTTGTTAAAAAACAATATTTTTATTAAAAAATTATATTTTTAAATATTTTTTATCTTTTTAATTTTTTAAGTTTTTTACTTTTTTGAATGACAACATGTAATTTTAATTTGATATTCAAAAACAGAATATTTTTTTGAGTATTTCGATACATAAAAATTGAATTTAGGGCAATTAGTTTATGAGTTATAAGTATTTAAAGTTTAGATGAGCGGAGTAGAGTGGTACGGGGTTACCCCGCGAAATGTTTGTCCACTACTCCGCTCATCTAAACTTTCGAAGCATCAGTCGAAAATCGAAGCATTATTTCGACTACTTATCGTGTACACAGATACAAAAAAAATAAAAAAATAAAAAAACACACATCATTGTAAAATCAATACATTCATCGTTTCACTCAGAATCTAAAAAACTAAAAAAATTGAAAAGGGAAAATATCCGTAAACAGATCAAACAGAGTCAAAATATTTTCAAAATTGTATGGTGTATAGGAAATACTAATATAAACATTCAGTGAAATTTTCATGTATCTATAGTTATTCGTTTATGAATAACAACCAAATAAGGAAATCGCTACATGAGAAATCGAGTGAACATCCAATGTTGTAAAAATTAAGGCTTATAAAAAAAAAAAACTGTGACTAACGATTTTTAATATTTTTCATCTGCCTTTGAAACAATATACTAGGAGCCTTCTATTAAATTTCCAAGTTTTTTTAACCAACAAATAAAATTTTATTGATATTTCTAGAAAAAAAAACTAAAAAAAAAAATGAAAAATGAAAATGTCCCTAAACAGCTCAAAATAAATCAAAATATTTTGAAAATGTTATCGTGTATAGAAAATGCAAATATAAACAACCAGTGAAAATTACATGTATCTACGGTCATTTGTTTTAAAGTTACACCAAAAACCAAATTCAATTTTCTAAAAATTGATTTTGCGTAAAAATTCACGTTTTTCCTTAATATTTCTTTTGTTTTTCTTGGCGCTTTTGAAAAGTACTGTGAATTTTAAATTTTGACCTCCCCAATGCCCCAACGATATTCACTTTCCAATCGAACAAGATACTGAAGTCGAAAATCGAAGCATTATTTCGACTACTTATCGTGTACACAGACACAAAAAAAAAATAAATAAACACACGTTATTGTAAAATCAATATGTTCATCGTTTCACTCAGAATCTAAAAGAAATATGAAAAATAACTATTCAAGAGGCATTAATAAATATTATTTTTTATTTTCTAAACAGTGGATCGTGGGAAGTTCTTCTGTGCAATTCATGTGGATCAAATGGTACACATAGGTTGTGCAGTTCTATTAGATGTAAACAGGAGTGGTGCTGTGCAGTTTGCAAAGAAGTTTCAGGTATGATTTATTATTATTACATTAATTTGTTACATGAAATGT